GGCTGGGTTTGTCCCATACATATCCTGATGAGGTGTGATCTGCCTCTCTGCTCCTGGAGAGTTTTGCCTAGGCCTCTGCTCTTGGAGAGGTTTTTGCCTGGGCTTGTTTTAAGCCATGAGGACACATTTTCAGCCTCATAACTGTATACACATGAAATTACAACCTATAAGTACTATAACAACAATGCTCAGTGCATCATGCGCCTTCTGAAGACACCTGACATGACAAACTTTGCATTGGATATCACACAATCATGTTATAAGGATGTACATGGGGGTGCAGGGTGTTCCCCTGAAGTACAGAATGTCACACCCTCCTCCAAAATAATCTGAATGTTTTGCTTTAGGTTTTTGAAAAGCAAAAAAAAATTCCACTTCACCACAAGCTTGTTTGGAAGTTGTCAAAAGTGACAATTTCCCCCACAAAAATTAACAAAACCCCATTTTCCAGGAGAGTTTTGACCAATTCGAATGGAGGAGGCTGTGCAAGGGCTGTGGAGAGTCACATTGTCCTGTGCCACGTACCCCTCTCCTCTGTGGTATGACTTCAGGGGTGACCTGGGGAGGAAGAGAACCCAGAGAATGATGGGTCCTTTGCAGGTCATCAATAATCCTTCCTCTTCAGGGTCTTATTGCATGGGAAAACTGAGGCACAGAGCAATGAATGACCAGCCAGGGGGCAAATCTAATTCTAGTTTAGGCACCACCTCCCCCCACCTATCCATACCATGTTACAAAGTAATGAAATTCCAGAACAGTTATTTCTCATAGGTCTCCAGCAGGGCTGAAGTGGTGGTAATATGAAGCGAACCTTGGAATTATTTTGGGAACACACAGTTCAGACAACCCTGTTTCCTCCACTGCTCACAGGCTTTGCCTTTGGAGAGCTTTAACGCTCTCAGTGCCGTCATGAGGGACCTGACGTTAGGCCAGGCTAACATGGAGAGGGTAGAAAGAAGGAATGCTGAGCCAGGCTTTTACCTGCATTTAATTGCTCCCCGTTTCGCTCACTAGGAGGTGGGGTTAGACATCCCCAATTCCTGCAGGCATGAGACTGTTTATATCACAATTTCCCCACTCTATGACTTAGGGTATTTACTGCCAAACCGGAGAAGAATGGAGGAGTTTACACTCTCAGTGCCATGGTGACACCAGTAGCCACAAGGGCCAGGTTTCCTCTTAACATTACAGAACAGAAACAGCTTGAGCCAGCACCCAGAAATGTGGGAAACCTATTCACTACCCTTCTTCTTGAGGCAATACTTCCCCACGTGCAAGCCTTGAGTCTGTGTACAAGAGAAAGCTTCTGTGGAGAGGGATTGGGGGAACCACCAAAATGGTAACTCAAAAGTAAAATAAAACACTTGCCCCACAGACTCTTGGTCCTCTGCCTGTTTCCCACCTTGCAATGGGAAGGCCCAGTGGACATCAGCTTAGCACACCAGTCTCTTTGTCCCTTGCTGCACCCACACTCACAGTTTGGTGTCCAAGATCAGAAAAATCCCAGCCCCCAGGAGTGCATTCAATCAGCCGCACATCCTGCCTGAGGGTGGGGGGAAAATGGTTGAGTGATGCTGTGTTTGGAGGTTCCACCACCTAATCCAGTGCTTAGTGATTAGAGTGGGTGGCCACTGCTGCCCCTTCTTTCACCAGAAGACCCTCCCCCAATATCTAAGGTTCAGCCCCTTACATCAACTTAAGGGTTTCAGCTCTAGTGATCACTAAAAAGGTTGAAATAAGTTGAAAGGCCTTTCAACTCTCTTTAAACACTGGAGAAGATGGCCAAACACCACCTAAGATGCTTTAAGAAGAAACTGCACCACACAGGAAAAGTCTATTCCCACTTCATCTTTCATTTGGATTTGACATCACTACCACACACTTAGCAAGTGAGCTTACAGTTAGAGAGACTTCCTCACTTAGGTTCTGTTAAGCATAGTTCTCTTCTCTACCCTTTAGTTATACAATAAGATTTCATTAGCCCTGCACCCAAGTTTTAACCCAAAACAGCCAAAATTGATCACTTTGGCAAAGCTAGTCTGTCTGCTGATCACCCAGGCAAATGAGGTGTGTGTGCAGATACAGTTGGTGCCTCACATCTTTCCCCATTCCTCAATAGATGGGGAAAGAGAGCTCAGTTTGAGCACAGGTTTACACACACAATCCAATTACTAGTCACAGGAAAGCAAGACCCTCAACTGTCTGAGGAGAGTTTTCTCCTCTACCATATGATATAGTTAGTGCTGGTGTAAGGTCGCAGCACTCAGACATCTAGGCCAAAAGTCTTTGTGAATTTGCAGAGAGCAGACCTAGAATCCACCTCAGTAGCTACTAAGCTGGACTTTAGTGAGACACCTTTCTGAGCATGGCTGGGGTGGGGCAGAAAGATCTTTGAGACTGTCACTGCAGGAAGGGTGAGAGAGTCATACCCTTCATTGCCTTCCACCTTCTCACCAGGGCATGGCTTAGGACCAACTGTGGGACCTCACCCCCCCAGATCTGCCGTATTAAATTACACAGGAGATCAGCACACATTCAGCCCCTCAGAGCAGGACTCTCAGTGATACCTCACCAGATGGACAGAGAAGTCCTGTGCGTCTCACACCTGGTTAGACACCAACTCAAAATGCTCTCAGTACTAGGACAGCCCCAGTTAACTGCCTTTTGGGTACCTAGACTCTTGTTGTTTGGGGGGATTGTTTGGGTTCAGATCAGGTATGGGGCTGTGGTAGGGGGAGGGGGTGTCCAGCCACCATGAGTGAGAGGGGGACAGCAAGTGAAGAGACAGGACCAAACAAGTCAGTCAGATTGATGTATTCATTAGCACAGAGTCAGTCAGCTCACAAAGCCCTTGAGTTCCAAGATTTGAATGGAGTGAATTTGTTTGTCCTATCTCCCCCACCCCATCGCCACCCTCCAGAGCGGCACCTAGGAAAAGTAGATGGCGGTAGCAGAGCATGAAGACTCAGCATCCTCCCCACACCCCATTTACAGTGTGTGTGGTGGTGGTGGTGGTGGTGGGGGGGGAAAAAAGAAGAAGAATACCCAAGTCATCATGGTTAGCTAGCTATCTTACCCCAGAAAAGGCAACAGAATATTCCCTCAGCAACAAGCCCCCCATTGTGGTCATTGTAGCAGAGGACATGAAATGTGCCCCCATACACACAGCTGTGGCAGTGACCAGCAGTGCTGTGCCTAGAGGAAGGTACATAGTGGGTGTTTTCTGGTATAGCCATTGATGAAGAAGAAGAAACTCCCCCCAGCCCAGAGGTCAGCTTATAGCTCCATATGGAAGATAGTGATCTTTTGGCAATCTGACCCTCAGTGGTCAGCTTGTCTTCTGATCCTGAAGGAGAAGGTACTGGTATGACTAGCCAGAGTTAAAGTGGTGACAGAAGAGGCTCACAGCCAGCCAGGTGGTGCTGAAGTCCCCCCCACCCCAGCTGCCCCCACACTGAGGAATGAGACATTTCCCTTGACTGGTTGGTTTATTTATTTGTTTATTAAGAGGCAACTGGAGTTTCATACAGAGCCAGACTCCCCACAGGCTGCAGCCACCACAGCACCAGGTTTCTTAGAGGCTACATTGGAGTCCCCAGTGGCTGTGGGTGCCATGGCGACAGCACCAGACTCCCCCAAGGCAGCATCAACGGCACCCATCTGGTATCCTCTGTGGTAGCGCTTGGTAGAGCAGTAGCAACCCAGGATTCCCAGGAAGACAAAGAGTGAGCACAGCACTGCAATGGCCAGGGTGGTGACGGAGAAGGGGAGCTGCAGCCCTGTGGGAAAGAAATTCAGAGCAGCACTCAGGAGAGATGTTGTGAGGACATGTGGTCAAAGCAGCATGGTTCCAACAGGCCTCCCAGCTGTTCTCCACCAGGGAATGGTGGCTGCTGCCTAAAGCCATCAACCCTTGTGTGTGGGGCAGGGGGAAGACACACACACACACACCCCCCAGGAAGGCTCATTCCCCACCACCACCTCCTGGACACTACTCTGCTTGCGAGACATGGTGGCTTGGCCCCATTTCTATTTGGAAGAGAATAACTGACTCCAGATCTCCCCAGATTTCCAGGATATGGGGCCTGCAGCCAATGGCAGCAACCCCATTAGTCAGTTCTGCCAGTTGGCTAGGTGATGAGACAATAAGGAGTTGACCAGACTGCTCATGGCCTTGCTCGTGGCTACATTGAGCAACAAGTCACCTACTGAAAGATGGGTCATGGGAGTCTGTCTCACTCTAGTCAGCTCCCCCACCCCATGGCAGAGGACAGATCAGAGCACTCCCTCACCTGAGGAATCCTTCATGTCCCCTCTCACAATGGAGTTCACAGCCCGATTGGGAGAGAACAGGTCAGGGTGGATGGCTTTAGGGGTGCCAGAGATGGACACAGTGGAAGAGAGCTCAACAGCCCCTGCTGTGGCAGAGGTGGGCTCTGTAGAAGCCAATGTGAGGGGGCTGGAGCCCAGTGTAATGGAGGAATTGGTGGCCAGCTTGATGGGGCCAAGCTGGAGGTCTGCTTCTCCAAGGAGCCCTGCAGGAAGAAAGCAGCCACAGAGTCTGGGAGCAGATGCCAGATGCCTCACCCTCCTCCTCCTGCCATGCCAATGCCCACCAGTAATCAGCACAGGGTCTGGTGGGGTGGAAGCCACATGTGCAGCAAGCCAGATCTATCCAGCCCCATATCAGAAGCAGCTGGGCTCAGCTCTGATGACAGCCAGATGGAAGCTTAGTCTAATGGGTAAGAAAGAAAGCAGCTCTCCACTCCCCCAAATGCTAGAAGGGGCCACATGCCCCTAGGGCAGCCCCTGCTCTGGTGCCAAGGCAGAGCTGAGGGGCAGGGTACAGAGACTGGAGGATCCCAGGGAGACATTAGCCCAGGAAGCCTCCCCCAGCCCACCAAGGAATTGCAGAAGCCAGGCAAGCTCCTCCAGCAGGACTGCAGGGGGTTGCAAGGTAGGGGCAAGGTTACCTTCCCTGTCCTGAGGCAGATGCCGGCGCCGCCTCCTGCTCCCACAGCCAGCAGGGGAAGCACAGCAGGAGCAGTTGCCTCCTTCATGGGAGTGCCAGGCTGTGGTGGCTGGGTCATAGGAGCAGGCCTTGTTGTGCTGGTCAGCAGGGCTGGCAGCCACTGCCTTCAGATGGCACAGGAGGTAGATCTGAAAACATGAGAGATGTCACAGCCAGGTGTGGTTCTGTATGGGATGCAGGGAGAGCCCAGAACTCAACTCTGGGGTCAGGCTGAGGGAACCCTCTCCCCTTACAGCACCTATTCTGCCCCACACCTCTGTCCATCCCTATCTCTGTGAGAAGAGGCAGGAGAGCTCATCTCCTTGCAGGGCCCTGTGGGAGAGTCCCTCATGGAGACGGCAGCCATCTTGCCTTGCTGACACCCAACCCCATACAGGGAAGTCCGTGCCCTTCCAGGTGGCTCAGGTCCCCACCTCCTCTGTACTGACCTGGCTGTTGGAAGCACCAGTGAAGATAAACGTGTCCAGCTGGAAACGGAGGAACTGGTCTCCTCGTGGGGCAAGGAAGCGGGAGCGGCTGTGCTGCCCATCCACAAGGCACCTGTAGGGAGGTGGTGTTACCCACCCAGCCTCTTCAGTGCCATGGAGCAGCCATCATCCTGGCTCCTAGACTGTCCACATGGGACCTGAGAAACAGCTTCGTCTGGGCCTGACCCAGTTCCCAGGGGTGGGGAGACAAGGAATTGTGGGGATTTGGGGCAATGGTGGAGAGGCCAGCAGCCTGCTGAGTAGCTTGGAGATACAGGAGCAGTTCAGACCATTACTAATAACTAGGGCCCTACCAAATTCATGGCCATGAAAAACAAACAAGTCATGGACCGTGAAATTTGGCCTGCCCCATTAAATCTGGTCTTGTGTGCTACAGTGGTCACAGGGGATACTAGCATGTCTCAAATTGGGAATCCTGACCAAAAAGGGATTTGTGGGGGGGGGGGGTCACAAGGTTATTTTAGGGGGCTCATGGTATTGCCACCCTTACTTCTGTGCTGCCCTCAGAGCTGGACAGCCAGAGAGCAGTGGCTGTTGGCCAGGCACCCAGCTCTGAAGGCAGTGCCCTGCCAGCAGCAGTGCAGAAGTAAGGGTAGCAGTGCCACAATCCCATCTACAATAACCTTGTGACTGCCCCCCTCCCCCCAAATGCCTTTTTGGGTCAGGATCCCTACAGTTACAAACACTGAAATTTCAGATTTAAATAGCTGAAATAATTAAATTGTAGGATTTAAAAAAAAAATCCTACAACTGAAATTGACCAAATTGGACTCTGAAGGCCCACCATCCACTTCCCTCCCCACACCTCTCCCTGAGCCAGCGCTGCCTAGTCCTGCTAGATAAAATGGTGCTTTGGTACCAGACACCAGAGCCTGTTCAGAGTCTTCTGCCCCAGACACTCACCCGTGGTCTGTGATGACCTCATATTTCATGGAAGATGCTGCACTTGGCCGTGCCACACACTCATCCACGTAGATCCTCAGAGGCACATGGCTGCCAGTTCTCACAGATGCCTGGATGTTTATCAGGTCACCAAGGTAGTAAGTGGGATCAGACAGGGGGGATAACCAGGTACCTGAGGATGAAGATGGGACACACACACACTTTGCCTGAGAAAGGGGTCTAAACAGAGAAAGGGGTGTAAGGCAGGCGAGATCAGCAAGAAAACAGGAGGCTTGGAGGGTGGCATCAACAGATCTGTGGGAGGGGGAACCCAAGGCTAGAATAATAGGGGCTGCAGGGTGGGACTGAGGGGTACTAACCGCTGGCATAGGAGGGGGCTATGGGTCAAGGTAAGGGGAGCTCAGGGATGAGAAGGGGTGTTGGCAGGGCTAGGGGAGAACACAGGACTGAGGTGCATTAACCAAACTTGGGGTGCCCCCAGTTCCCCCTTTTTCTGAACAGTTTAGGTAGTATATGCATGGGCAATGAAGTCCCTTCCTAACCCATCCCCTGGAGACAAGCCTGGCTAGTGGGCTCCCAGGCCAGCCTGCCATTTAGCTATAGACTGGGTGGGATCCCCAGAGACTCCCAAGATCCCCCTGAATACACCAGTACTCACTGTCATATACATCGAGGGCAAAGTCCAGGTGCCGTCTGTGCATTAGGGTGGAGCTGAAGGGGACCCAGGTGGGCTGGAGGCCCAAGGAAGAGACATTACTGGTCCTGGAACAGAGAGGAGACAATCACTACCTCTTCCACACACCCAGGATCTGCTATTGTGTGGTGGCACATGGCACTCTCCTTTGGAGGTATCCTGGCAGCCACTGCGTAGCCCCTCCTGATTGCCCATCACACCCTCCCCCAACACATAGTTGTGAGGTTAATCCCAGTAGGACTCCGTTACACATCATAGCATCTAAATCAGTGGTTCTCAAACTTTTACTGGGGACCCCTTTCACATAGCAAGCCGCTGAGTGCCACTCCCCCCTTATAATTAAAAACCATACTTAATACCATTATAAATGGTATTGGCAAAGGGAGGTTTGGGGTGGAGGCTGACCCCCAGTTTGAGAACCCTTTATCTACAGCCACCCCTCTCTCCCCTGGCTCAGGCCAAGACTATGGTGTAGCCAGAACAGAGCTGTGGTGAAGAAGGAAGCTGAGACATTAGTGAGCGCTAGTGCATTAGGGCTTCAGTCTATTTCCTTGTCTCACCATGTGCACTAGCATGGCATGTGCATGGCACTAGCAGGTCAGCATTGCACTAGTGCAGGTGACAGGCAGGTCACATGGACCATCAGGCCTCACCAAGGCTCTGCTCAGTTGTGCATCCCTGCAGCTGAGCCATGAGCATTAAAGACCTGGGCAGCTCTAGTTGACTGGATACCCAGCCTTAGTGTGACAGACCCAGCAACCACATCCCACCCTCTGCAGGACAATCCAGGACTCCGACTCCCTGGCCATTAGCAAAGCTCAGTGGGGCAGCCCTGCAATGCCAAGGCCACCCTTGGCAGGAGGGTGAACAAGTCCAGGTAATGGGGAGAGACTTTGCTCCTTGAAGCAACTTGGGACAGTTCCCAGCACTGCATGGAAGATGCTCACTTACCTTGGGTAGAAGCAGTCTATGGGGAGGGAGAAGGCGCTGGCTCGGATCACGCCCCTCACAGCAGAAGGTCTGTAGTGGAGGAAGTTTCTGTAGTGGATGGTGTCAGGGAGGAACTATGCAGAGCAAACACAGCCGAGGGTCAGTATCCCTAAGACTACTCAGCTGCACCCTGCTCCATCCACCCAGCAGCAGGGCCTCCTGTCCAGCCATAGCCCAGGAGGATAGCTACTGTGACCCGCCAGAAGGGGAGGTGCATACACCATTGGAGAGACCTCAGAGCACCAGCCAGTAGGGCACCATGTTTGGCCCTCACAACCCTCCAGCCACTGCCATTCAAGGGGGCAGGTAGTAAAGAGACTCCAGCTAGAGGGAGAGAATAGGTTCATCATTGCTATAGCATCATCAGCCCCCTCCTGGGGGAACATCAGGGCTTGGACCTACTGCTGGGACTCTTAGGAGCAGGAGCTGCTACCACAAGATCCAGAGGAATCCATCTTCTAGCCAGGGGCTGTAGCAGAGTCAAGCCTCCACAGATCAGCCACTAGAGGGGACATGCAGTGCCCTGAAAGAGGGGGTTACAGTGGTACCTTCCACCTGAGCATCTCATCACATGTGAACACTAAGCCTCAGCCCCCCCCCCCGCCCCCCAGAAGGCAGCTAGTCTCATTTTCCAGATGGGGGCAATGGAGAGTCCCTTCCCATAGGGGCATGCTGAGTACATGGGGAACCCTGGGCACTGCTTCCAGCTCCAATAGTGCCAAGGCCTGTAACTTCTCATTTTAGATCAATCTGTGTATCCCCACCTCCTGCAAATGCAGGAACTTGTGGGCACCAGTGGAAGGCAGGAGTTACCCAAGCAATTTCACAAGCCAGCATTCACAGATCTGTTTCAGCATTTGCATTGCGCCTGCTCATCGGCAGTGTTAAGCCCTCCACGGCCCCTGCAACGTACTTAAGACACTGTACCATTGCACCCACTTTAGCTGCAGGCATGAAGTGAAAGGCTATGGGTTAGTATCTGATGGCTAAAAGGCCCTCTCCCCTGGGCTCCCCTCCACCCAAGGGCTTCTTTGGATATAGATCCCCTATTCGTTCTCTCCTGCATGGGACAGGGTGTATCCAGATTCAAGAAGAGCCTCATTGCAGTGAGTCTGTTCCATGTCCAGCAGTGGGAGTGAGTGAATGTGAGGCTTGATTTCCATCACTCAGGAAAGGTGGGTGTCCCTCAGGAGAAAAGGAGGGGCTGAGGATTGAAACCAGGCTGCACTCAGCTGGAAGAAAGATTGACATCCACCCACATACCCAGCCCCCCACTGGTCTCTGCTCTCACCTCCATGGTGGCCCCACATGCCGACAGCAGGTATTCTAGCTGGAATCTATCTGGCCCAACAGTTGTCACAGCACAGCCAGCCCCCAGCGTCAGCTCCCTGGTAGAGACAGTCACACCGTTGCCAAAGAGATCCACCAGCACCGTGATCTGAAGCCGCGAGCTGCCACACACCACTGACACTGCAGACAGAGCGCACAGGGGTTAGACTCAGCTACAGCATCCTCCAGACACAACAGCCCCAGAAACCTGGTCCTGGGATTTATACCACTCCCAGGACACAGGAGTTCAGGAAGGGCTGGGTAGATATCCAGCATTACTGACTGTGTCTGGGGCTGTAGTGTATTTTCATACATCATTACAAGGCTCAGGGCCATAATTCCAGTTGCTCCCAGTAGCTGCAACCCCAACATGCTCCTTCCACACACCTGCCCTGTGCCTGAGAGGCCATCCTTGATCCCTAGCACCTCCCAGGGTCCAGCTACCAGATCTGTGCTAGCAGGAGAGGGGATTTCCCCACCACCCCAACAACTCATCCCTCGTTACCGCTGCCCAGGGGCATGCACTGATACTACTCCTGGGAGGAGCAGCCAGTGACAATGTGACCAGATGGACAAACCCAGTGTCAGCAGAAGGGGTGAGCGTCCAGTGATGCAAGTAGAGGATCCACCAACCACCATCACTGAGAGATATGTCCCTTGCACCTCATTACACTGAGCAAGACAGTCCTTAGATCTATGGCAGCTACTGAATCCTGGAGCTAGATGGCTTAGAATTGCAATAACACACTGGTGACATGCAGGGTTATGGAGACTCGGACCTTGTCTACACAATATTAGTCTGTTAGAGCTATATCGCAAAGCCCCCTAGTGCAGGCTGAGCTTATGCCAACAGAAGATGTTTTTCTTGTCAGCAGAGTAATACCACCTCCTGGAACAACATTTGCTAAGCCAAGAGAAGCTCCCTTCTGTTGTCATAGCTGTGTCTACATGGGATTTTTGGCAGCTTACCATGTTCTCCCCCACACACACACACCTGACTGACAAAAAGCTGAGTGGAGACCCGGCCCTAGTCTGCCCGGACTACGTCTCCAACAGCCCCCAGCCTCCCAACTCAGACACGGAGGACCAGGAATCACCTCCATTTCAGGAGAGTGGAAACTGGAGCCACAGCAGTGCCAGGCTCTACCAACCCCAGAGCTGAAATACCAGACAGCTGCCTTCAGCCATCTCCCCTGATTGTGGAGGAGAAACAAGGAAACTGTCAGCCAGCAGGTTATGCCAGCTGTGACAGATCTCACTGATAAAACCAGGTTAGAGGCAGGAGAAAGTGAGAGCATTAACCATTAAAAGGACCCAAAAGGCATTGAGGAGCACCAATGCAGCTTGCCACCAAGCATCCCGGGGTGGGGGCAGGAAATGGAGTCAGATGTTGGACAGCAACTGCTAAATCTGTGGGTGCCTCAAGCCAGACATCCCAAAAATGAGGTACCCAGAAATCCAGCAGCCACTCTGGCAAGCTTTGGTTTCAGCAAGGTCACCCCTTCAGAGCAAGGACTAGAACCCAGGGCCCCCCAACTCAGAGGTTCAACCCACTCTAGCCACTAGGCCATACCACCCCAGAAGTCTCATAAGTGGGCACACAGGGGTGTCCTGCTGGTATCTCCTTGTGTTACAGATCTCATGCCACCAGAGGCACCTAGATAACTACCACAAGAGGAACCTTCACTGTTGTCTCATTGCTGCCACTAAGCCCCAGGAAGCCAGCCACCAAAATGCAGTGTTGTATCCTTTGAGAGAGCAGGTCTGTTAACCCACAAACTGCTCAGACCCATCCCACCTGGGACAAAGTCAAGGGTTAGGATTTTGGGGGAGGGGGCGGGAGGAGGAAGGGAGAGAGAGAGAGAGAAGCACAGTGGATTCCTCACTACAGACCTCAGCTACATCTCATCACCTTATTGCAGCTCCTACATCAATAACTGCTTCCCTAACGCCTATCACCAGCAGGCTGGAGACTGTTCTGTTGAATAGTGGCAGTATCTACCACTGTTTTACGAGAAGCAAGGTGGGTGAGATGATCTTTTATTGGGCCATATTGGTCCACTAAGAGGTATTACCTCCCCCACCTTTGTGCTGTAATATCCTGGGATCAACATGGCTACACTGCCTAGAGTAAGAGATTAGCTATTTAGGCCCTAGGGAACTTGCATACTTAGGGAGATTTAAAGCCACAGACTGGCAGAGGGAGCAACTTCCACACCCAGCATCTGCAGGGAGACTGGGGTTTCCCACGTGGGCCAGGAGGAAATGAAACTTTGTAGGCACTCTGCCAGCAGATAAGAGTCACTGAGCAGGTGCCCAGAATACATTCCATACAGGAGAGCCCTAGGTTTTACCTGCCCAGAACATAAAATTCCAGTGCAACACTGGAACAACAGGACCTGGATCCGGCTCTGCCCACCCAGCAGCTCTTCCAGGAGGCTGGAACCCAGAGCAGGAAGTCCCCACACAGTTGGAGGATAAACCACAGCAAGAGGCTCAGTTCACACCCAGCATCCCTCATTCCCCCCACTTTACCTGAAGCAGTTTGAGCCCAAGCACCAGTGACTAAGAGGAGCAAAGTCCAGCAACCCCCAGGAGCTCCCATCTTCCACTCCCCCTTCAGGAAACAGCCACATGAGGAAAAGCTGCCCCCACTGGCTGGTTTTATACAGGGGGCAGCAGCACTCAGGTGTCTGCGATTCCTCCATTACCAGCATGGGCCACAGCTCTAGTCCCATCCTCTGCAGCTTTGACAAGGGGCAGGTGAGAGTAGCCAACCAAAGCCAGGCAGGCTCTAGCTAATAGCTGTCTGCTACTCTGAGCCTTTGTCGTTGTAGGTTCAGCTCCCAGGAGTGGGAACTCTGCCCCTTTCCTAGTGAGGATAAATTAAAAGCCCCCTACCCACTTCTGTAAGAGACTTTATGTCTGTTTACAACCCCTTTGTGGTAAGAGCAGGTTTGTTTGTAAAGTTTCTACCCATTGTTTCCCTGTATCCCTCCAACACTGGGGGATGAAACCCTCAGACACAGGCAAGACCACAACACCCCACCTCCCAGGCAAGGATCTCCTAGTGCTATGCACAGATGGATGAACTAACTCTCCCCCGACCTCAGTTGGTGAGTGAGGAAGGAGCCCCCAAAACACCCCCATTATACTGATGGGAAAGTGAGACAGAGAACATTCAAGGGCTAATTTTTCAAGCACCCACTAGTTTTGGGTGCCTAATTTGAGGCTTCTGGGGCCTGCTATTCAGAGGTGCTGGGCAGCCCTGGCTTCAGCTGAAATCACTGGAATCCTGGACCCCAGAACCACCCACCTCAGTGCCATCCTGAGCCCCCACCCAGCTCTACCAGTGCCTGTCAAACCTGACCCTAGGCCCCCTCTATCCCATCCCTGGGACCACTGCCACACACAGCTCTGGTGCTGATGAATCTCAATCCCAACCCACAGTGCCCCATTACCCCAGCCCTGGCCTCCCCTCATAGCTCTGCCAAGGCCCCCTCAATCCCAACCTGTAACCCTCTGCTATCCTACCCCAGGGCTCCCTACCCCAGCTCTCCTGATGCCCCTCAATCCCAGCCTATGGCCAGGGTCATCTACACACAATGACCTGGGAAACCAGGAAGGGATAAAACCAAGAAGCCCAAATTCCCTCTCTGTTACCCTGGTGCACAACTTCACTGGGGTGGCCCGTGGTGTCCATGTGCCTGGGCAGAGGTGTTAGCCAGCTGTGGCCTCACAGTCGTACAGCCCTTAAGTGAGGTGTCACCTGGGGCCGGTGGCACCAAGTTCACCAGGGTGGTGGGGGATGGGGGTATGAACTGTGACTGGGAAAATTCCATCTAGGTCTCTGGTGCCAGTTGGCTCCTCGCAGCACCCAGAGGCCATGGGGAGGGAGTAGTAGTCTGACAGCCCCAGCCAGCTCTGTCTGTGCTGGTCTCTGGGGCACAGACCTGCCCATACTGCTGGGCATTGCTCAATGTCTCCCGTCTGCTATGGGGAAGCAGCAGGGTGAGACAAGCCAGGGGAGGAGGGCAGGGCACCCTGGTGTCCCCGCCTCCTTCCAGCTGATAAATACCAGGTCCTAGTCCAGGTCCCAGCACAGCCAGGGAGTGATTGCAGACAGAGGGATGATGAGGACTTTGGTGACCATGCTAGTTGGGCTCCTGCTCCTGTACCTCACCCCTGGGGGGCTGTGCCAGGGCTGTGGTGAGTCAAATGGCCCTGTGCCATGTACCCCTCCTCTCTGTGATGTGACTTCTGGGGTGGCAGGGGGAAGGGAGCCTTTCCCCACTGCGTTCCCCACCAGAGCCTTCCCTTGACTCGTGTAGCTACACCCCACAGCCTGGGCACACCCTGCTTTTCACTGTGGTGCGAGCTACTCCTGTCGTCTCTGCTGCCAACATGGGTGTGCAGTGTAGACATCACCCAAACCTGGAAACTGGTCTGTCCAGTTCGCCTGGGAGCTCAGGAGGAGTTCCCCTTCCTGATGCCCCACTGGAGGCTGAACAATAATAGCCTCATTGTCCCTGCCATCCAGGCCATGGCGGCCTCTCGCCTCCCATCTCTCCTGCCTCTTGCACCGGCCTGGGAAATTTCACACATGGGCGGGGGGG